ATTACTTCACAAAACACTATCGTAGGAGAAGGCAGAACGTCACCACTGTACTCACACTGCAGCTCATGATCAAAGCAACATTATTATACCTTATCAACTCAGAAGTTCTGCTTTTTTACATCTACATGGACTATAAGGCGTCTTGCAAATCAAGCTCATCTTTGATAGTATAATAGGACATTTAGGAGAGGGAAATCCAAATGCTGGTAATTCACAGATATTGCTTTCGTATTCTTGACTCGGCGATTTCTGTTAATGATGCACTTTAGCACTTAAAAAAATAACTCCAGTATAATTAAAATCGAAGGAAATTTTCAGGAATGTCAACAATTTGCTGAGACTCAAGATAGTATTACCACTTCACCATCGCTGAAGTAATGTTTTGGCTAACTCCAGAAGTCTTTATATAAACTTCGCTGTTCTTTTAAACAGTAGTTGATCAGTGCATGGTACCAACGCAGATTTTATACACATAAAGCCAAGACAATGTCTGCTCTTTAACAGTGGTCCTCGTTTCCAGATTTAAGGCCCTTCTAACCAACAAACATCATGACTCAGATGTTCCTCTTCCATGAGAGCCACTTGTCTTTTAATAAAAACATTATACAGCACCTGGCGATTCCCCCAGACACAACCTCCTATTTCAGCAGGACACCTGGGACATTCAGACGAGTAGCTATGACGGAGGCCCTCCCCAGGGCAGGAACAACCTAACAAACAAGTTGCGTTTCAGTCCAGGAGGGAATAGAGAACTCGTTCAAGTGCAAACTCCGTTTGCACAGCAACACTGAAAACATGGGGAAATGATTCTACACGTACCGAGCTACAATACTGCCTCTGCATTTGCAGTTATGAATTGGTAACAATTTTAAAAACACGTATTACCCATTAGATCCTCCAATTCCTAACCGGAAAAGCAGCAATGCTAGAAATGCCTACAGCTACGATTCCAGTACAGACGTCATGGATCCCACAACTGGTGACATCCGTCAACTCTTTGAGACATCCAATAGAAGTCCCCCCCCTTTGCAAGCCTGTGAAACAACTGCAGAAATCCATTTTTCCTGCATGGCTCTTGGCTTACCCAATAGGATTTGCTGTAACTGGACAGTGGGGTGCAGACAGCAAGAGTCAACACGGAAGGAAAAGTTGCGAGATACCAAGCACAGAGGAGCACAACAGAGAAGGGAGAGCAGCCCAGAGGAAAAGCACAAAAGAGGTAGATTGCCGTTACTGAAGACCATGTCATTTTCCCCATCAACCACCAGAGAAAAGCAGGCTGTGATGGAGTGCTTTGCATAGACATACGGCACAACAAGCTGGCTGTGGATGAGAAGCCACAAGTACAAATCCATTTACTGGAAGAACCAGAGAACAGATACTCCACTGGACAGAGGTCTGCGGACCTACAGGGGCTTGCTGCACCACTAATATTCCATGTCCTAGACACCCCTGCTGCGATTTCAGGAAAAACTTCAGCTCGGTGCTATGAAGGGCTATCTAGAAAGCTCAGCGACAAGCATCCATGTTATATCGATGTCTGATCATCTCCAAAACAGCTCCAACTGTAGCCACTCTACAATTAGTCTTATTAGTAATTTAAGTCCCTTACCGGATGAAGTGATATTTAAAGGCTTCTATACTGATGGAGCACCACACATGTACATATTGGCAATATTCCCCATGACCCTTTCATGCCTAAAAGTACCTGTGCCAAGATTGGAGCCCTATACGCACACCCTCTGTGAATATACTACTCCTGACAAGGATCAAAAGAATGAGATAATCCATCTTTAGGTGAGCTACAGGGAAAAGTGACACTGACGAGGCTGGCAACCTTCAAAAGCTCACATCTACTCAAGGGTCCTCAAGGGTCTCGAGGGAATACCACACATTTGGGACATTCCAAGGACCTCATGCCTCGGAGAACAGTCAACTCGTCAAGGTGCAGCGAACTGGCAAGAGAAACCAAAAAGAGACAGACCTGTGTACAGTCCGGCCAACCGAACAGGGCGCGAACCCCACGCCCTGCGGGAGGCCTGACCGGACTGCGACGCTACAAAGCTCTACGGTGCGGGCAGCGACTACACTCGGCACACCTGAGGTAAGCAGAAGCGCTTCTGCTAACCTCCAAAATAAGGAAAGACTAGGCAGCAACAACAAAAGAGCTGGAGGCCCGTTCAAAAACGTAAAGGGAAAAACAAAAGATGAATTACCACACTCCCGCAAAACAAGCGTGCAGTCAACACAGTTACTGTGGACTGAAAGCCGACACCTGTCATCGTCCCCCAGCTACTAAGCAAGGATAGCATTCCCTGTATTGCTCCATCGGAACATTTATACACTTTATATTAAGGTAAAAAAATTCAACCGCACTTCAATTACAATCGTTTTGATGACTCCCAATGGTACACTAACAAAACCCTCCCCACCAGAGTGTAAATTTCGCACAATCAGGGATTATGTTGGAAAATATTTATTAGCGACTGTAAAAGAACAAAATCTAAAACTGGGGAAAAAAAGGCAAGCAAAGGTGAAGACATTCATACACTATATAGCGCCTCACAGGCGTTGTGACAAGAGCATGTCGTGGTAAAATAAAGGAAAACGGGCAAAGATTCATCAAGACCAAGAACAAAGCACAAAGGAAACCGCAGCTGGTACCTGAAATAAAGATTTTAATCCTCTTATTTAGCTTCTGAAAGTCAAGCAGCACATGTAACCTGGTCCATTCTGGTCTCCAGTTCAAAGGCATCGGGCCGGTCCTGCGGATTGACCGCCAGCATGTCCTTTAGGAGCTGTTTGATCCCGTCCGACATGGAAGTCCTCCGTTTCTGAGGGATGTGGAGTACCATCTTTGGGTTTTCTAGCAGCGCTTCCCCCACGGGCACGATCTCGGACCCCTGCCTGATGTAGGTGCCCAGGAGCTCCCTCTTGGACTCGGCGTCGATGAAGGTGATCCTCTCGATCATGGCCCACATGATGATGCCCAGGGCAAAGATGTCCGCTTTGGCCGTGTAGTGTCCCTCCCACACCTCGGGCGCCATGTAGAAGTCCGACCCGCAGGCTGAGGACAGCCAGAACTTGTTCACATTGACGTTTTTGTTCCCATCTTCCCCTTCCTTGCCCCGGCCGCCAAACCCCGCGCAGACCTTGCTGAGACCGAAGTCGGCCACCTTCAGCACGGGGACGCCCGACTTCTCCGAGATGAGGATGTTGTCGGGCTTGAGGTCCCGGTGGACGATATTGTTCTTGTGCAAGAAAGCCACGGCGCTGGTGAGCTGCAGCATGAAGCTGTTGTTGGTCGCCGGGTCGGGACTGCGCGACAGGATGAACTGGTTCAAGTCGCCCCCCTCGCAGAACTCCATCACGAACCAGAGGTAGCAGGGCTCCTCCGGGTACCCCAGCACTCGTTCACCTGCCACCGGGGAAGAAGAAGAAGAAAAGAAACTTTCAGCGAGAGAATTAACAGCAGGAAAGGAAAAATGGAACACTGGGATATGCCTCGAACCCACGATGCTACTTCTGAAACAAACCAGGAATACACGCAATCAAAAAGCATACCAGCACACGCGGAAGTCTCATGAATCTTCAAGAAAAGATTCAATCCATGAACACGCAGACTGAGTGGAAAGAACAGACGAATGGTTTTAGGAAGGGATACCTCGGCAGAATGCATGCGTAGCAAATGAAGTAGGTTTTAGGTAGGAAATATACAGAAAAACTGATCACATTTGAAAAGTAAATGGTATACTTCAAAGACAACATGAAAATCTAAAAGTTAGTATGTTCTTTATCCACATTAACACCACTTTTTCTGAGAGGTTTTCTCAAATCACACTTCAGTTATTTAAATCTATTAACATACCCATCCTTCCGAAACTTTATAGGAATTCCTACAGGAAATGCATATTGCTGCTTTGCGTCCTGGTGAGGGTAATTTGACTGGTCTCCGAAACCCAAAGGCTGTATTTAATGATGGGGGGGGGGAGGGATGATGGATGTTTGGACCATACTGCTTTTAAGACACAGGGAGGAATGCAGCTGCGCAGACCATCACCATGGACAAGCACGTTAAGGGACTGTGCACCTCTTCAGCAGAGTACATCTCCACCCCAGCAACACTGCTGACCATAACCATCCATTTCCTTAGACACTCAGCTCCTACACCCATTCTCTCTCTCTCGTCCTCCTTGCCCACCAACAATTTACCTCATTCTGATCTGACACATGCTCCACAGGTTGAACTTTTTCTTCTTCCACCTACAGTCTTAACAACGCCTGTTCTCCAGCTTTCCTAAGCCGTGCCCACCTGGTGGCCCTCGGATCAGAGGAAATACCTCTGGGTACATAGCCATCACCCGATGCTCGCATGCCCCGTGACGACAAGAAACGGCGGCTCATTTCTAAAACGTCTCCCAGCCCACGGCGGCAACACTTGCCACCTGCCCGAAACGTTACAACTCATTTCAGAACCTTCGGCGTGCTGCGGTGTGAAAGAACCAGCCTGAACTGGTCGCAGGGCCTCCCTTGCCTATGACACCACAGCTCTCAAAGGAGAGCCCCTAACTGCCATGAATACAGCTGGTGCTCCAGAGCACGCACCATCTTACCACACTGCACACTCCGGATCCACTATCCCCTCCCACGGCAGCGGCACAACATACACTTGCATCTGGAGGCCCCGCGGCCCTGGGTATAGAGCAAGTTATATTTCGGGGTTAGAAAGCACCGGCATTGAGGAGAACAGGTCAACCCGCAAAAACAAAAGTTATATGTACACAGTGACTTGTAAAACATCAAATATACAAGTAATAGGTTTATTCCATGCTGGAAAGAGAAGAAAGATGTGGCTGAAGAAGGCTCCACGGCCGAAACGTTGTGTTTTCTTCTTCTTTTTTTCAGCATGGAATAAACCTATTACTTGTTCCTTTGCAGCCTACGCATGCTGACGCAGCTACCCACCTGAACTACAAACATCAAATATATGTCACAAAATAGACAATCTCCAGGTATGTGCAGCGCCATATTAACCGATTCAGAACGAGGCAGCAAAACTTCCAGCGAGGTTAAGCGGCCCTATTACACTGTACACACCTCACCCAACAGGAATATTGTTCACGACTTCCGGACGGTTTTGCCGATAAACGGAACTCCGTTAACGCCGACCGCGCGTGCAGATCACGTTGGAAACTTTCTGCGGTGAAATATCTGCTGCACAGCTTCATCCGCTCGTACGTCACACTGCGTTGCTACTGGGACTAGTGAGCAGGAAGGGGCCGTTTCATATCGCAATTCATGAGAACTCTTGTTCCGGCCCATGGAGAGGCCAGGGGTTTGTGACATGGCGACTTGCAGCACTTGCACAAAGCTCACGATTTGGCGTTTAATTGGGAATTTGTCAGACTTGTCTATACCGGCAATTCTAATGACAGGTCTGAGAAACTGGGACTGCAGTTCCCCTTTAACACCAACTGGACTGAGTGGATTAATTAGTGCTTGCAGGAATGAAAGCCCCCTTTGAAAAAAAAACTATGACAAATCTCTCACCTAACAATATAATTAACGACGAAGTACAACCATCTCTGCAACTCAAACAGCAGGTTGCTACAGAGTCTTGAGTGCGTACCTGCACATTAAATAAACTGCGATAACCTTAGCTTCTCTTAGCTACTGCTGTGAAGAATATTGAAAAAGATCTGTAAATGACATTGGTCTCAGATATACCAAAGAAGATGCAGAGAGCTTTTTGCTTCATGCCTGTGTGGTATTTATTCCTTTCAATCAGACATGTTTATCAGTTTCTAAGGATTACTGGCAGTCCTCGGTTTTTATTTTGTTCTACACCAAACACTTTTCCTAGAATTTCCTGAGCATTTTCCACACACTCTGCCATGCCATCTCAACATTACCACACAGCAGTAAGCTTGCATAGCCTATATAATGATGTCATCAAGTGTCAAATGTGTGTTATGCAACAAAAGACGAAAGTACTTTGCTGAAACACTGAGGCACAGGCACTGACATCTGCAATCACACTTCTGTCCAAGGCCTGAGGCTGTGCTCAGCACACAATCCTGGCTGAGCCACACAGCCTGCCTACCTGTCTGAGCTTAGAGGGAAGGCAGAGGCCTGATCAACTCTGACAAGGTCCAGCAGGGAAGAAGTGAGCTATTCACTATTCACTCGCTATAGCAATCACGAAACGTGAACTAATGAATGTTTCCACCCTCTAAAACCTTACCCTAGTGCCAGGCTAATGGTCAATGCTTCTGTTCATGTTGTTAACTACAGTTTGTTTTTTGATGGGAACCAAGATGCTCAATCTGGCTATAGGCATTTTGTAATGAATGAATGAAATCTTGACAGTATGCCTTGGAAGATGGCAGATCGGACCTGTTTGTAGCCAGTTCAGCACTGGAGGAAATGGGGAGGCTTCAGGAAAAAAAATGCATCTTTGTCGGGACCAACATCCAGAACTTGAACAGGTTGCTGAATCCAATATTCAATCTTTAAAGACGGGATTTAGTGAGTGATGCCTACACCCTACCTACTTTGACACCCATAGTTCACATTTAGCACTGCACAATATTTCAACTGAAGTATTGTCCTACAATGTTTTACTGCGATTTAAGTCGAGAGTGCAACCATTACTGGTTAACCAAATCTTACCTTTTCCATTATTCTATTTCTAATATTACCTTTCTATTGGCTACCATTTCCCACCCCACCTTGTTATACCACTACTTATTGGGCTGCATAATAATCCCTGTGAATAATGTGAAAACTGTGATTTAGGCTATTCTCTTGGGTCTAGAGTTGGCCTTCTGGATTAACTTAGTCACACACCCAAAAAAGGCTCCACAGCTGAAACACTGAGTTTCCTTTCCTCCCTTTTCAGCATAGAATAAACCTTTACTTGTTCTTTTGCGGCCATAGGCAAAACTTCCCTACTTGAACTTCTTCTGCATTACCTGCCACTTGCCCAATTTATACCACTTACCCAGAGCACACGCATGCCCACACTGCTGGCACATTACAGGCTTTAGAGAAGCCCACACTGCGAATTGAACTGGGAACTCCCACTGGCCCTTAAAGAAGGAAATGTAACTGGCATCGCAAAACAAGACCCGTTTTGTTCAAGTGACCTTTGAGCAGAGCAACTTTAATGGCAGCAATGGTGAAGAAGAGCCATAAGCCTGACTGACAGGTAGTCCATTTTCCTCACACATCTCAATGGTCTAAGGAAGAAGAAAAAATAGACAACTGACCAAATCTTGGAAGTCTGGAGTTGATCATCACTGGAAACAAAAAGTAACTCTCCACATTTGGAAAAAAATGCTTTTGATAAAGAGACTCTGGGAATATTTCAGAACTCTGGAATGGCAAATTTCAGTCTTCCACAACAGAACACCCTGTCACTTTAAAAACAAGGGGCATTAATTTCTGGACAACCCTAAAAAAAAACAATACAGGGGGCACAGATCTCCATGGCCCTCCATTTCCACCACAGACCAATGAAGAGGCAGAACAGATCCCACAAACTTGAGCTGTCACACAAACGGACACCAAAACAACAACAGCAGCTACCTGCAAACCGAGTCAGTGATAAACACTGTCATGACCAGAGAAACGGAAAACTGGCACTCCAAAGTCTTAATCACTTCTAGGCTTTTAAGAAAAAGAAGTCAGCACCTCAAGATCTAAGCTTGATAACGCATCCAAGATTTCACATTACCTAGCATGGACTTTCAAGGGGAGGGGGGTTGGTCCAACACAAAAGGCAACACCAGCAAGGGGTCTCGCTGCACAATCAAAATTGTGGGGGAACACAGCAGCCCCACTGCATGTCTGGCAATATCAGAATTAAAGGGGAACCAACAGGAGCCACTACCTCCACTGCTGAAGCACGGGACACGTCTGGGCCACTACTAGATCAGGAGAAAATGAAATCTACTGAACTCATGAGGAACATTAGGGAGGTGCGATCTTCATCCCAGGGCAGAATTCAGCTAGGACACCAGAGATCACACACCCCTGCTTTTACAAACAAGCCCGGGATCGTTAATGACCAAGAACACCAGGGCCAAGAATTCTCACCTGGTCTGAAGGAAGGCAACTTCTACAACACAGTGTCCTCCTTCACCATACTGGGGCTTTCTGTGTTAGAAATACTGTACTAGAGGGAAAAGTACATTTACACTACCTGAACTGCCAACACCTCTCACAGCAGTAACCTGATTTTCCATAGAGGCCACCCAGCTGTATTCTGCTTACCGAGAGCTGAGCAGGTTGGCAATTGGTCACATTGACAACTGGAATCAACTTCCTGTCGTGAAACTCTGTTTATTTTTAAGTTTCAAATAATGTAAATATTTTGTCCAGTAAATAATAAATAATGTCAAGTGCCCTGACATCTCAAGGAAGAGACCGTATTCCCAGTCGTGAAAGGAAAAACAAACCAAACCTGTTTGTTCTAAACTGTAAAACACAAAAGGAAAGGGTTTATTCCCTCAGAGCAGGCTCCTTTCTGAAAAGGCCAGTAATCTGAAACACATAGGAAATGACAAGCCGTTAATTAACAAGGTCTTAAGTAAAAGAAGATAATCAGTTTCGATTCATGTAGCCTATGGCCTGTTTCCGAGGTGAAAACTGTACATTTGAGAAGGGACGTGAAATCACGGTCACCTGGTCCCAGCTCCCGAGCTCGGAGCGCCCACATGTTCATGCCCGGCGTTAATATTTCATCTCCAGAGAAGTGTTCAGGCCCCGGTTACATCACGCAGAAAGGGAGGCCAGGGGCCGCATCAGCGCGGGCGATGCGTTTCCAGTCGGTGCGATCTGCTGCCCGACACTCACGAAAACCACCCCCCCCAAAAAAAAACACAGGCCGAAAACCTGCATAACTCCGAGGCCCCCCGCAAAAACGGAACCCGCACACTCCCGCTGCACGCCGGGCGAACGGCCGCTCTGACTGCGCGGCTGTCCGGGAAGAAGCCTTTGTCCCGGCCGCTAGCGAACCCCGAATGGGGAACTGCGTTTCAGGACGGGGGGGGAGAGAGCGAGTCGTCCCCTCCTGCTCACCGTTTCGGCCGACTCGAGTCGCGTCCTGCCAAGACCAGTTTAAACTCCCCCCCCTCCCCGCCATCACCGCCACACACGTGAACTTCGTGCCTCGAAAACTTCAGCTCAGTTCTGCGATTGCTGGGGGGGGGGCAGCTTAAGACGCATCTGGACCGAAACTGGGAAATAAATTCCAGCGATTCCGCTGGTGTGGAGAATAAAATCGCTCACTTAACCCCGTAGACCCCAGGATGTTGTTACACGGAATACGGTAACACATGCATTGCTTGAGATCTGAAACCCGAATCGAGCAACGCACTTCGACTGAACGACCTGGGGGTTTGCAGCTGACCCACAGAGGTGTAGCGCCGGGGTAATTTTACTGCGAGGTGGGGGTAAACCCGGTACCTTTGAGCGACGTCTCCACCAGGCGCAGGTACTGCTCCGACCGCTTGTTGCCGTGGCTCATTTTCTGGGCCATGCCGTTCCGCTGCAGGACGCACTCCTCCAGCTGCACCACATTTTCGTGCCGCCGCTCCAGGCTCGCCAGGGCCCAGAACTCGGCCAGGGCCAGCTCCACGTTCTCGGGGGCGTCGCAGCGCAGCTTCTTCACGGCCACCCTGGCGCCCGACCGCCGCGCCACGGCCTCGTACACCACCCCGTAGCTGCCCCTGCCGACCTCCCGCAGGAGGCTGTAGCGCGGCCCCAGCACCCGCCGCGGCGGCGGCGGCGGCGGCTTCTCGCCCTTGGCGACGCCGTCGGGGGCCGAGCCTTCCTCCATCGGGACCTCATCGCCCCGGCTCTGCCCCGGCGAAACTTTGCCCACCTCCCTTTTCAGCTTCGCATTGCGAGCCCCGCTCCTCCTGCAGGCTCGCACGCTGTTTGTCCTTCTCCTCCCCCCGTCACCTGTATCCATGGGTCTCTTGTCGTTGAAAACGAACGTGCGGGGAAATTCGGTTTTCCTCTCCTCATCACTTTATTTCCGGGGGAAGAAAATTAGGTGAGCTACGCGGGGCTTGACGTGCCTTTTGAGACCAGAACTTGGTTTTTGGGTCGAACCCCGCTTTTCCTGTGCCAAAATCACGATTTGCAGCTCCAACCGTTTCCCTATCTCCAAACTGTTTGAACTAAATAAACATCCAAACCTTTGAATGAAGGGGTGGACCGTACCACTCCTCGTGACGAGGGAGGTCTAGTGTTGTACAGTTTAACCACGTTCACTACTAATAAAAATAGCAGCATGCCGTTCTAGAATATAAATACTTCGTTAAATTAAGATGAAAAAAATATATAATTATATTCCAGCCTCGCACAAGTTAAAGTTTATCAATAACCTTTTGTTCAGTGCCCCCCCCACATAATTCCTAGAAGTCTCATATAAGGACGAGTCCACTGTTTAGTCATGGGGGTGTCGTACTTACAAAACATTTACGTATTGTTTTGTTATGCGCAGTATATAAATCTATTTTTTGGTGCAGTTAATTATTTGAATTATTAGACGACATAATCGGAACTGGTTGTCTTAGCGTACTAAACTGTTTTGTCATTTAAAGTGTAAAGAATTTACGTACCCCCTTCGCTTTTTCCCATGTTCGGTGAAGACCGTTCGGACATTGAATGTTTTGATTTTTTTTAACCCTGTGTGCAATATTTGAATTTGTTAGTGTTCAAGCACACGAAATTATATTTGAACGTATTTTTTGCCATGTTTTGGGGTTAGTTTTAATATTTATATCTTAAAATATATATTTAATTTTTTTTCCCGAATAACGTTCTTAGAGATGAACTTCCTTGGGATACGTGTGCTTAGCCCCTAGCTTACAGTTTCACGTGTGTCCGGAGAGCACGTGTGACAGCGCCTGCTGTTTGTGGCACGCTTGTCTCGTACCGCGGTCCACATGACTGTGCAAGTGAAGGATAAAGCTCCAGTATTATATTTATCACTAAATAAACGTGCAGCGCGAGTGACGTCAGGTGGCAATTTTAAGCAAAAGACAGGTCTCACTCGCTCAAACAATTTAGTAATATGTTGTATTCATAATATGCTATATTGTGAATATGACACATTCATAATGTACTACTGTACATATATTACGTACAAATATTCATAATATATGATATCATCTTATATTCTCCTTTAAGGTTATTCCACACTGGTCAGCATTAATTACAACTGCTCATCAAGACCGTAGATATTTCCTGGGATTCTTGGAATAGATCTCATTTGGAGTAAGTAAACTGCAAATGATTCAGAAGAATCCACATTTAAACAGGACGAGCATAAATTGAACATAAACAGTATAGAAATCCGCATCACTGTCCGCGCTAACATTAAATTTAGAATACACTGCTAAACTGATGAATGTAAAGTAAGAGAAAATGTTCTCATAAGCTTTTATGGGATAATATTTCAGTTATTCTCAATGATCCTTACTAGGATGTTCTGTTATAACTTGCATTAGTGTAATGGGTGCAATTAAAGTGACAACCTGGCAAGAAAAAATGCATACTCTGCCATGCAGTGAGAACACTGTCATGATGGATTAGGATCCTGTGACTGATCTTCAATGGGCAAACAATCTGCAACACAGCTTGAAATATTGAAGAGCCCCTGGGTGTAAAACAGTTAACCTTTGTCTATCACGTCTAAGCACTGTAACCAAAACAGAAAGCTTCAGATAGCGTGGAGAAACTCAGCTAAGTTATAGACTGGGTCTCTCAGCTCTCAGTCTTTAGGTTGTTGAGTAATTCAGTCAGTACCTGTCCTGCTGAACCATAGAGCAGTAATAATACAGATCATTTCGAAAGACAAAAATTGCGGTTAAAAAGTACGTTCATTTCGCGGAGATTAAAATCAGTGGAAGTTCGAAGGCATTGGTTATGCCTGTCTGGAATGACTAACCTCACCAAATGAAAATCAAACCCACCAACTAAGGAAATACATTTGGGACAGAGTGCTTTCTGAAGATAAACTGCTAACTGGAAAGGGAGAATGAGCCCTGTACCCCCAGAGAAAAGACTCCAATCATTGACCAGACCTTGTGCAGCTCAGTCCCTGATGTAATTCAAGCACAGCCTTGGTCTTGGGATCAGAAGACACAGCGCCGATCCCTAGATGGGGGCAAAATACTCTACAGCTAAACACTACGTCCTCCAGCCGCTGGAGAGCTGTACACTGTTTGGGCTTCAAGGGGATGACATCATCTTCTACTGCATAACAGGCTCAACATTGCTAAAGTCCTCTTACTGTCACATCCAGATGTGAAGATAAGAATGATTCAGAAATCCTCATGCTCACCTATAAGGCTCTGCATGGCTTTGCACCTCAGTACCTGTCTGAACTTTTATCGTCCTACTCCCCACCTCGCAACCTTCGCTCTTCTAAGTCTGCTCTCCTTACTGTCCCCCAAGCCAGTCTACATTGTATGGGTGACAGGGCCTTCTCCTGTTATGCCCCCAAGCTCTGGAACTCTCTCCCCAAGGATATCAGAGAGTCACCTTCTCTAACCTCCTTCAAATCCAGACTCAAAACCCTCTTCTTCAGAAAAGCCTTTACTGAACTGGTTCCATTCTTCACCCCTCTGCTCTTCTTAGTACCACCATCCACGGTCTCCTCTATATATTGTAATTGTGTTTTATCTTGTGTATTCTTCTTATTTATTGTTGTTGTCATCCTGTAAAGCACTGAGAAGGCACCGCTAAAGGTGCCATATAACATAAAGTTTATTATTATTATTATTATTATTATTATTATTATAAACTGTAAGCAACATAAAAGCACTGCAGAACGATGTTTGCTGGCAACAGGCAGCAGTGTGGGACAGACAAAGGAATGACAGGAGGAAGAACAGATCAATGCTGGATCATGGAGATTCTGAAACAGAGCCCAGGAGACAAGAGATGACCAACCGAGTGACCTCAGAGAAGATGGGAAGGTGAAACGAGGAAGTCTTTGGGTGCCATCATCGTATAATGCGCCAAAGGTAAGAGCTTCGGAGAGGTCTTCATCCAGAAGCTGATTAAGAAGAGCTGCTGTTGATGAAAATGCTGATCCTCTTTTTAAAAAAAGAGTATTGCATTGCTGTATTTAATACAAGAAAAACAGTGTGATTGATAATGGGGAAAAGGCGGTCAAAGAATAAGTGGATATTTGTGCAACATTGTGTTTCATAAACATGGCTAAAATCATCCACAATGCAGAAGAAAAAAGAATAAAGCACCGAACCTGTCTTCAATGAATTTGCCATATCCCGTTCTTGTCTAGGTCTCTTCCAATAGGATACAGCAGGGGTTGTAAACACCACCATGTACCTGCTGGCTTGGGGAGGTCTTCATTCTCATCTGGTCCTTCCCAAGCCAGCAGGTACAAGGTGATGTTTTCTAGCCTGGGGAGATTACCCATTGTCCCATTGTGAGGGGAGACCTCACGCCATAGGGGTACCTATGTTACCAGCAAGGAACTGATAGCACCAGTTATCCCGACTGGACAGCACGGCCAGCACCTGAAACACTGATCTCACTAATCAGACACAAGCCCAGCCTACTTCCCACAAATGCTGACACACAACCTAATTACCCAACCACGTCCCTCGTCCTGCACCACGCCTCCTGACATCCACTAATTAAGATAAGCTAATTAGCCATATATAATTTCTTTGCATTAGGAATTCATCTTTTCGCATACCCCAGCTTGCTCTCCATGAGACACAGACAGGGAGAGAAGCTTGGGGTCAGAGCTCAGGGTCAGCCATTGTACAGCACCCCTGCAGCAGCTGGGGTTAAGGGCCTTGCTCAGGGGCTGCAGGAGTTGAACCAGCAACCTTCCAGCCACAGGCGCAGATCCTTAGCCACAGATCCACCTCTCACCTGCACTCCCAGCTTAGTACTGAGTTAAACCTCACGAGCTACCTTCTCAAAACTTCAACGCTTAAGAATCCTATTGTCTCGTGAAACTCATGCTACTTGACCCACGCTTGCTTCTGACCATGATTATTGGCTACGCGACTTGGCTGAGTAAACCAGGCTTTTGCTCCACTTTATTTTTTTTCTCTCATCAGCCTTCGACTAGCACCACATAGGGTCCTATCTTCTTTGTCGTGACCAACTGTTTCTAACACCTTGTGATGGCCAGCCATGAAAGTAGGGATGCACATGTGGTTCCGGAGTGAAAAAAAACGTTGAGTTAAATAAAAATGCTTAAGGACTATAGAAAACTTGTTAGGATGAAACTGTGTCACACTTTCTGAAGGCACCTGGCAGCCCTGGGCTTGTTTTCCCTCCACAGACATACGAGTGGCAAACTTCAAAACGAGAAGTGATCGCTTTATCTCCCGAACACCTGCAGACTCTGTATTTCTCTCAGGAGTACGTTAAGGGCAATAAAGGATAAAGGTAAGCTGAGCATCACCTAGGCGCTATTTATAACAGGGCTTAGGAAAGCTTACCTTCAATAACATCTGTTATTTATCATGTTCCTCTTCTGGAAAGACAGGGAGAAGACATCAGTTCAGTTTATTTGTCATACGCACAAGTGCAATTTACATGTATGCTTTTTTGCATGTATGCTCCAATACAAAGACATTAAGGAGTCACCAAAAACACAGTCATAGGATATACATGATGCTAGTCGCTTGTTTACCGAGCCAGTAAATGTTTAAGATAGCCACTGAAACCAAGCCGCTGATTATTGATTCACATAGTATAGTTTACACCTAATGTATGTACTCTTTTCTCACTGTTATGTCACACTGTTTTTCTGTGGAAAACTTTGTCCAATTCAGGGTCCCGGAGGAGCCAGAGGTTATCCCAGTTAGGATAGATCCTGGCGCAAGGCGGGATATATCCTGGACGGGACATTTTCTTTTTTAATAACCACAATCATTTATTTCAGTTTTTTGTCCGAGCTCTCCGACTCGAAGCCCTGGCCAGTGCTGGTCGAAGGGCTGGGATGAGTCAGCCGGAGCTCTGTGGGCTCTCCAGTACCTCCTGTGACTTCCTGGGCGCTGGCAGGGTTGTAGAGGTGAGATGCACCACTACCTTAACTGGCACTAACTGTCCTGCCAGGCTGAGATGCCATCCCAGAATGGCCCTGCAGCTGGCTGTATCAGAGGGGCTTGTCAACCTGTTTTGAGCTCATTCCTCAGTCATTGC